GGTGGAATGTTCACTGGAAGTTTCAGCTGGCGAGAGCAGAATTACCGCTGTGTCAGCCCTATATGGTCTGGTTGACCTGAGGCCCTTGCGACCCTCAAGTTACAGGCCTTTCTGTTGACGGTGTGTTCGACCGTCTGGGCCGCTGCTGCGGTCACTTCAACGAGTTACTTGATTGGAAGACTGCGGGAATCTTCGCTGCAGGTCTGACATCAGCGTCAGCCTGGTTGTACGATATTTTGCTGCAGATTGGGGGTCAATGGTTGACCGGCCAGATATCTTCAATCAAGCCTTGCTCAAGTGAGTTCGTTCCGTGGATCTCCTGACCTGACATCCGACCCTGTCAGAGTCTGTCAGTTGTCAGTCCGTGTGCAGCCTGGGTCAGATAGGGTGCCAGTCATCGTGTTCCTGTTTCTGACCTCTCTCTGAATCTGTTCTAAACTTCTAATCCAATAAAATAAAATAAAACGGAATTGCATCTCAACGACCCTGATCTGGTTTCATTGCCTACCTGGTTCTGCGTGCGTCAACCGAAATTGGTGTCTGTTCTTTTCAGAACTGTCGGTCCGTTGGTCAGTCCTGTCAGTTGGCAATCATTGTTAGCAGTCGGAAAATCTTCGGTTAGTAAGGGTGACTTTCTTTCTGTACAAGAGGTCAGAGTGTCAGTGAAATTGCATATTCCACTTTGATTAGAATGGGAATTATTTTCCCAGTCTGCACTTGCGGTGATTGAAATCTGCTCCGGCCTTTTATTTTTTTCATTTTTTTCTGATTGCATAAATCCATCTCTCTCCCCTGCTGTGGAGTGCTGGCGGTTGTGGGAAGGCTCTGTTGTGAGCCTGATCAGAAACGAAAAGTTTCCGTTTCTGATTTGGGTGTGGGCTTAGTTAAACTGTTAAAGTAATTCGTTGACGGTTTTGACCGTTGGGCTGAGCCCATAACCTCTCATACTGTCTCTTGACATTTGGCACTAGCCTGCCGTATTCCCCATACCACTAAACAGCACAGTTTAACTCTAATTATCTGGGTTCTGAGTGTGAACGGTAATCTCAGTATTGCACTTTTATAATTTTATTTTATTTGTTTTTTCTAACAAATAAATAATTTTCTGTGGGAAGATATTCGCTGGTCGAGCTTGGGTCCAGTGCGATTGGGTGTCAGTCACTGCTGTCAGTCTCTGCGCCTGAAAACATTCCTATGCAGAGTTGGGAATTGGTAAGTGACCCCATCAGTGGGAGGTCACAGATCAGTTAAGACTGCCATTGGAAGTATTAAGACTGCCATTGGAAGTACAACCCTGTTGGTCAGTCTTGGTGGTCAGTGCCATTCCCGTGAGCCTGTCAAGTCTGTTAACTTGTTCGGGTCGGGAAATCAGCACCACATCCCATATCTGATTGGTCTAGTGAATGGTCTTCAGCCTTTAACCACTTTCGCGTTTATATCGTTGTGTGGATTTGCCTCCTTCAAGTCTACTCTGCAATTGCATGCGTGTATGGGAACGTGATTTCGTTGTGGATTGAAGTTCAATCGGGTACATAACAGTCGGATACCACCACACCGACAGCTGAATAGTTTATTGGTGATTTGGAGGCGGTACCCATGCGAGTTAGTGAGTTCTATGCATGCAGTGATGGCCAAAGGTCTGACGGTTGCCGAGGCATTCCCTTGTATACATACAAACATCTTTTCCCCCGGACCCATCTCCCTGTTGACGTTGCAAGTGGGTTGCACGTGAGAACTCCGCTGGTGGATGCAGACCGCTTGAGTGGACCGAGGGGTGGGAAAGATGAAGCTTGACAGTAAGGTGACCAATTGTGCTTAGATGCTCTGTACCGGTCACGACAACAGTTTGCCCTGGAACCAGCTTAGGGCTAACTTTCACCTAGAAATTGTCTACACTGCCAACTAGCTAGAAGAGTGGTGATTCAGAGACGATGAAAGTGCTAGCCTTAGAAGGAATGGGAGCTTCCATCCCACATCATCCAATATAAATCTTAATCGGATGGCCTAAGAGGACCGTGATGGTAGCAGGACTTTGTCTAGTATTAGAAAATGAATAGAGCATATGGATTGGGATGAAGAATAGGTCGAGAGGATCACACTGGACAACTGGTCCCTTGGTTCTCTTGTGTTGTTTCACTCTTGAATGGGCCATGGAGCAGTTGGAGAAGAGAGGTTGCTGGTTGTACTGCTATGTGACGTAATGGAGAGAGGGTAGAGGAATGCAATGCCAACGATGGTCATATCACGCACACACACATACACACACACACACACACACAGAGAGAGAGAGAGAGAGAGAGAGAGAGAGAGAGAGAGAGAGAGAGAGAGA